TCCCCTCACAACACTAGTATCAGATCTTATAAAACTCATTTCGCACGTAAAGTCAGTCTAAACAGCAAGATCAAGCAAACATGCATTGCCCAACACTACTATTTCCACTCTCTCTTACTCTTATCACAACTCGCACTCCCCATTTACAATACTCGAATAAGCACAAGTAATCTTAAAGCGCATTAAAACGAAATCTAAGCAGCATATCGCATTGCCCAACACTATTTTGTGGTTTCTCTCTTTCAGGCCAACCGCCACAACTCGTCAAGATTAATCTGATGCTCTCGAGCGCCCACTTGCAGCCGGTGTCATTTGGGTGCTTTATCGAATGTGAAGCAATTAATGCATGCTTCAAGTGAAAGAGATTCATCTCAACAGTGAAGCCATGTTGAAGCCAGACAATTGCAACATCCATCTTCTGCAGGCATTTGTCTCTTTCACGCACACAAGAATATGGAGGGGGGCGGGGTTGGCGAGATGGAAGGGAGGAGTAGAGTGGCAACGGTCGGTCCGGACATGGACATGGACATGGCCATGCACATGGCGGTTGGCCTTTTGTCACTGCGTGAGAGACAACAAACACATTTACTAAATTAAAATTGAATTTATAGCGCACTAAATGCAGCGCCTGCATATATCCTGCACTCAAATTGCCCTCAGTGTCCTGGCAATTGACCTCCCCCCCCCCCCCCCCTTCACTCCAACAAACCCCCGCAGCATTCCACCATTGTGTTTGTTCGCTTAGGTTAGTTTGCTTAATCTTTGACTAGCAGCCAGAGGTCGTCGCCTCGCTCGCTGCCAGGCGAGGCAATCAGTGCGAATGCAGCAAGGACTCACGTGCCCGCCGTGTGTATGTGTGTGTGTGTGTGTGTGTGCATGTCCTGTGTGTTTGTTGTGCGTGTTGCAGTTGCACTTGGGCGTCGGTTTGACTAATTAATTATATCATTAAAATGCGCAGCGCAATTTTGCACCTTTTTGCTCGAGCAGAGGCAGGGTGGAGGGGGGGGGGGGGGGGCACTAGAATTTATCAGCTGCATGTTTCGTATCTTGGCCAAAAAAAAAACTTATTCGTTGCCAAAAAACCCGTCGCCAGCGCAAAACAAGCCAAGAAAATAAATTGGTAATTTGATGTGGTAGATGGCGACGGCTCGAGGCTCGTTTAATGAAGGCCCCCACCACCCCCTCATCATCCCCTTGGCGGACGCCTGTGGCAGCCCGCACATGTTAACTGGCGAAATGGGCGAAATCTCTCGCGGTGGCTGGCACTCTGGCAACAACCGGGCCAGCAAAGTTGTTGGCGTAACGGTGACATAATGAATAGGATTTTGCCATTTTGCGGGCACAGCACAAAAACAAAAACAGCAACAATAAAAGGGGGGAGGGGAGGAGGTGGGGGCAACGTGCAACATCTAGTGCAATTTGAGGGCAAGGATATGCAAAGGATATGCAAGGATATGAAACAGATGTTGCAGCTCGCTGTTGAAAAGCAGCCAATTTGGTGCACGACGCTAGATATGGCAAAGTGACAAAAATTTAATATGTAGCCGCACAAACAAACACACTGCTGCCACACACACACACACACACACATACAGAGAGAGCGAGTCGCACACGAGCAAAAGAAATGCGCGCAAAATAAACGGCAAAATAATCGCGCACACAATGCATTGGCAATGAGCCAAGGCAAAGGCTGTGTGCCTTATGGCCGAGTGTGTGTGTGTGTGTGTGTGTGTACTGTGTGTATGCTGTGTGTGTGTGGCAAAAGTTTGCGCTTGCTATCGATGAAATTGTGGCTCCAAAAGGACACTGTACACACACACACACACACACACTCACACACACACAGAGTGCGCTGCGATAAAGCCGACATGGCACAGTGGGCGGACAGCTGATGGGCGTGGCAGCAGCGAGCAGGTGCCAGCTGGGCCACCGCGTGGCACTTGTAAAAATTAATCAGGCATGCGACCAAGCAAACAAAATGCATTTATTGCCAATATTGTGCAGCAATTGCAGAACCATTTTTAAAGCGCCTTAAATGCACACACACACACACACACACACACAGAGGGCGAAAAAAACTTTCAATTACAGGGTGTCAAAGATCGAGCGCAAACACAGCGTGTGAGGGCGTGTGTCTAGGTTGCGAGCCCTGCAAACATTTCAATTTGCCTGGCGACAGGCGCCGCACAAAAGCCAAACAACAAACCCCAAAAAGCGCGCATGGGAAAATAGAAAGAAATAGAGAAATAAAAACAAACGAAAAATAAACCAAAAAAAAAAAAAAAAATATTCAGCCAGCTGCAATGAAAATGGTCCACAAATCGGACAAATGGCGCACACAAAAACGCCGTCTCATATCCGGTGCGAGGCGGAAGTGGCCGGCACAGGGAGTTTTGTGCCATCCCAGAGCCCGGCTCTGTCACGGCCAATGGGATTAGAAGCGACCCAGTGCACGCTTCCGACTTCTCAGTTCGCACAGTACTCCACATATTGCACTTTTGCCCCGGCTCCGGACTGACTAAAAGTCTCGCGCTTGCACCTCAACTTTAGTCCATGGCAGCTACTCTTTTATTTAGCTATTTATTATTATTTATATATCAACTTTTTTCAGCTATTATAAATTGGTTATGTTTTAAATAAAGTGCTTTTGTAGCGCGCACAACAAATAAACAATTTATAATCTAATTTAAGCATTTAAAATTTAATAAATTTCATTTCAGTTGCAATCTAAATAAATATGCCGCACATTTGTTTATTAAATGCAGCAAAAAAGTTTTGTAGCTACAAAAAGCTGATATATAAATGTTAAAAGAGCATTTTACTGCAATATAAAAATGCCATACATTATTATTAAATTGTTTAGACAAAGTTTAGATGGAATTCTCAAATTGTTTTTAGTCTGTTGACAGTCAAAAGCTGCTGCTTCTGCCTGTGCAGCTGCATACCGCCCTTCTATGCGCTTCACATATTCACTCATACTCTCATTCGTCTGCCTATCCTCTATTACGCTCTCAAACCTTGCGCCTTTCTATGCGATTTTCATAATCTTAACGTAAGCCTCGTCTCTTTTCTTCTCTTTTTCATAAATAATACTTAAGCATATGGAAACATTATTAAATTTCTGCTTGAAAGAGTAAGTTTCTAGCATAAGAAATAAGTACACTTTTGATCATTGCACCATATTTTTACAATTTTTCTTTCTTCCGCTAGCACATGGCCATCTTTGGCACTTGATTTTGGCTCAGTTCAGTTGGCTGCTTGGCATGCAAAGCGGCCAATATTTGGTTACATGCTCAGGTGTTCATATCGTGCTATCAAAATCTATGCAACCAGCACAAATGCCGCACAAGCAACCAGGCAACACCAGGCAACAACAACAACAATGCGGGCAGCCACAGGCAGAGGCAAGCGAAGCTATCAAAATAACAAAATCGAAAAGCGTTCACCGCACTTTGCCATATTGTTTTGTTTGGGGCCAATGTGGTTGCGGCTGCAACTCGCACTAGCTGCAGCTACAACAGCTGCAGGGGGCGTGCTGATAAGTGGGGGAAGGGGGCAGAGTGTGCCGATATAATGGCCACATAGTCAACAAAACAGCCTGCAAACACAGCACGAATACGCGTAGGATAGTTGCAAGAGTAACAAATACCACGCCCACAGTCGCATATATTGATATCAACAAGCGGGGCTCAGAATCATTTTCAAATACATTTTGTGGCTGCGTTTTTGCCCGTGCGCCGTTTTCCAACACTCATTTAATTGCAAATGTTGCGCGTTTTTAAAGCTGACAACTTTGTTTTGGTTTTTTGCGTTTTTTGTTGGTCCCATTGCAGCGAAATTGTTTGATTTACTGCTTAAAATAAATATATGAATAACGGCCAAGCGATATGGACTTTGCTTTACGTTTTATACCCTGTAATGGGCATGGATAAGGTTAGCTATTAACTGTGCTGGGGTATGAGAGAAATACTATGTCTAGATACTTTTAATTAAAAAGTTCACTTATAACTTTGAAATGTCAGAGTATGTAAATAAATAAATAATAGTAATGTATGTGTTAAAAAATAAATTAAAAATAATAAATGTCAATTATCAGAATATAATATATAGGTTTAATATATAAAAATTACCATTGCTATGACAAAAAAAAATAAAAATATAATACAAATTAAATAAAAATATACAAGCAGTTATTTATTATCAGAAGTATTCTTTCTCATATGATTTATTTAATTATGATTCGTTCCAAATTCAGAACAAGTTCCAAAATATCCAAGAAGTTAACAACACTGACATGCCAACTTCTCTTAGTCAACACTGCCCTTTTCATATATGCTTATTGAACACTTGACACTTAGCTAATCAACCCAACTAGCTGACAGCAGGGTATACGCCAGCTTATCCGCATTATTTACAAATATTACTCGCGTTTTTCTCGAATATTGTTTAGTTTTATTACAATTTGTTTTTTCTTGGTATATTGAAACCATATTTTATATAAATTTGTTGCGCAGCTGGCGTAACTCGTTTTTGATGGATTTATTCATGTAGAAAATTGCATTAAAATTCACAATTCGCGTTTTGCGATTCGATATATTTGTATATACATAATATAAATGCGTTTGGTGTTTATGGCCCACATGGCGTATGGGGAATGCAAATATGCAAAAATCTGAACGGCGCGCCGCAAAGTATGCAATTAAAAAGGATAGCAAAGTGCAGTCAAGGCGTTAATTCGATTGTGCCTATCTCTGTATATATAAAATAATATATCTTAAATATAACATTTATACAATAATATATTTTATATATAAAACAAAGCCTTGCAGCCTAAGCCCACATTTAAATTGACTTTCAGCACACACACACAAAGCGAAAACTTTGTGCGCATAAAGCGCCCTCTGCTGGCAGGTGGCCGCACTGGCCATGCTTTGCGGCTTATCCGCATTTTAATTAGCAGCTAGCCAAAGTTGTAATTGAATTAAGATGCAGCCAAGAGATACAGTTCCAGATGCATGCGAAATGCAACTGGTTAATATACGGGTTTATTGGACTCAACCGAACAAAGGGTTTGAGATATGGCCGGACTTTTTTTTTAATGCCACTGACTACACATATAAACAATGGCGTGTGTGTGTGTGTATCTGTGTGTGAAACAGTGCTGGGCAGTTGACTTGCATGCTGCGTCCGTTGTGCGGCATCTACCAGTAGATCAGCAGCAAAAAGAATGGCCCCAAACTGAACAGCATTAAGCCCAGCAACAGCACAAACGTGAGACGCCAGCTCTGCAGCTGAGGGATGAGCATGAGCCAAGAGAAAGAGTGCTTAATACACCTGAAACTCACGCCCTTTAAGTACGTTTCGTTTGGGTCCAGCGTCTGGAACGCCTCGAGACTGCGTCGACAGAGCGGGCAGCGCTTGGCCTGCCAGCTGCGCGCCTCACGATACAACAGCAGGCAGCTGCGGCAGAATTGATGCTTGCAACAGGGCAGCTGCACGGGATCATGTATGTGATCCAGGCAAAAGGCGCACAGATCCTCCATGCTCCAAGCGCTGCTGCTGCAGCAGCTGCTGCTCGTGTTGTGGTTGTTGTTGTTGTTGTTGCAGCTGCCGCAGTTGCACTCGCTGCAGTTGTTCTTTTGTTTCATGGTAACTTTTGTTTATTTTTGTGTGTGTTGAATTTTTTGTTGGAAAAATATGAAACTAATGAAAATTGTCAAATTTAAAAGTGAATATATACATAGTTTGAGAAGTATATAGATTCAAGGCGGTAAACGGGTTTGATGCAGAATTAACATTTTTTTTAATCGCCAAGAGATGGAACCTGAAGATAACATTAAAGAACAGACGAAGCTTAGCGTGAACCTTAGCATATTTCATAAAAGAGAATCTTTGAGTTTTTAACAGATTTATATTTAAATTAAAATATTCCATCCTACTTATTTCATTATATAAATATATATGTAATTCAAATTAATTAAATTTATGATCAATTTAAGTTTTCTTTCACGTAACTAAAATATATTTTTGACAATTCAAGGCTCGAAGTCGATTTAAAAGATTCCTTTTTATAGCCTTGGGGTTGATATAGTCATGTTTGTCCGTTTTTCCGTGTGTCTGGTTCGATGCCTTCAAATCTGTCAGTTTTGGGATAGGTCCGTCTTGCTATTGCAGGCAGTACATATGTTGGAATCACAGAGATCGGACCACTTTATCATATAGCTCCAATGGGAAAGATCTGACGAGAGGTAAGTTTTTATATGGCAAAATCTTCTGCTTTCCAAGCTATTTTTATCAAACTCAGCTTTAACGAACTTTTCTCACATATCTACAAAAGGGAAATGTCTACAAGCGTATCAAATCGTCGGTGGGGCAAAGATATCCTTTCTTTCTCGCTAAGTATTTATTAAAAAATATATTTAAATACAAAAATTGTATCTTTCCACGAATTTAATTGAATATTAAATCAACTAAATTTATGATTAATTTACCTTTTCTTCATGAAAATTTCAAATATATTGTTGACAAATCAGGTTTTCATTGGCTTGCAGCGCTTGCAGCTCTCTAAACATAGTTTGTTCGGAGAGTCGGGGCGGCAAGTGAGTTTTAATTAAAAAAATATATAAAACTTGTCGGCCATAAATTGTGCGAACACCTTGGCGCTAAACGATGTCGTTGTCCTCGAGGTTGCAATAAAATTTAATTATATCAACGCCGGCTCAACTGAAGCGGCAAGCATCGAATGCAATTAGTAGTAGCCTTGTACAACTCAATTAGACGCTGAACGAGGGGAGCACAGGGAGAACGGGACGGGGTTTGGGATTGGGTTTGGGATTGGGATTGGGGTGCAACTAAGTGTTTGCCATACGCGGCTCATCCTTGACTTGGCGCAACGAGACAGTTGCGGAGAAAAAAAAAATGGAAGACGACAGCGCTTTGCACTTACGAGACAGCGAACCGCAGTGCAGACGCGTTATAAATCGAACTTAACAACTACTTTTTGGCAGGACGTAAGGACGAGGAGCGGCAAGCGGCAAGCGCCAAGGACAACGACTTTGCTTCAATTTGTACAAGCTTTTTAATTAAGTTCCAACTAAAAGTCGGGCTGACTGTCTGGCCAAAAGTCACATCATTTCTTGGGGCCAGCCCACGGTTCTTAACAAGGCTGACAAATTGAATCTGTGACGTCAGCTGTCTGCTGCCTTCTAATTTCACAGGACACACACACACACACACAGAGACAGGCACGCCCACATTATTATTAGCGCCTCAAACTGGCCAATTAGCTGGGCCTTGCACCACTTGATTTGCATTCGCAACTTGATTAAAAAGTTGCCAATTGCATGGCATCCACTTGCACAGCATCCCTCCCCCTCTCTCAGCCACAATCTCCCCCCCCCCCCTCGTCCATTCCAAGTTGATTGTTTATTGTTTGAGTTGAAGCAAACATTTCTTTTTATTATTATTTTATTTGCATTTCTTCTCTTTAGCTGTAATTGTTGATTGGTTGCTCGTGCGCAAAACTTTTGCCTTTTGTTGTTGTTGCTGAATTTCAACTTAAATTAATTTTACCCGACTTTCTTTAATTATGCTTATAAATGGCCAAGCGAATTGTTCAAAAACAAAGCACACATTTTACGCGCGCTTAGCTCTCAGTTTACAGTTCTCAGTTCTCGTTGCTCTGGCAGGTACTTTAACTGCCTGTTAAACTTTGCGCACAGCTCAAAGATAAACAACAGCCAAAACTTAAGCTTCGACTGACTTTAAATATAATCGAGTTAACGGCAACTATTCAAAAGTGTTTCTCAATTATTTACTTAAGGAATTACCCGAGTCAATAACTGGCAAGAAAATCTTTGAACTTGAGTTAAATCTTTTGATTAGCAATTAAAACTGAGCCACGTTGTGGTTCTATGATGCGAAAGATAATCATACACAATCTGAAGTTGGTCTGTACTCTATCAGCCTGGTCTTTTAATCATAATGAATGTATAAGCATATCAATCTATCTATCTATCTATATATACATATGCTTCTAAGTATCTATATTGGAGATAAATAAAGATAAGTAAAGTCTATAAAATTTCAATGGGTCGCACAATTTTATATTTATGTATATTTTCCTAGGTTTTACCCAGCTTTGCCCGAGACTTTTAATTTAATTTAATTTAATTTAATTAATTCATTATTTAGTAATTATATATTAAAAATTATTTTAATTTTTATAAATTAAATATTTAAAAATATATTAAATTATAACTAATAAATATTAAATAATTATTTACATGATATTTAATTATACAGTTAATTTGATTAATTAAATTGGTGCAAATGCCATTTTTTTTCTAAATATTTTAAGCAGCTGCGCATCGCAAATCCAATCAAATCCAAGCTTAACATGCGCTAAATAAGCACAAAAAGTTAATTATATTATATTTAATAACATAGTTAACTTTATTAATTAAAACTTTTATTTAAAATGAAAATCTCTTGCTGCAAATGTCATTTTTTTAAATATTTTAAGCAACTGCGCAACACAAAAGTAATGAAATCCCAGCTTAACCTGCGCTAAATAAGCACAAAAAGTGAATAAATGTTATTTAATAAGTTTCACTTTGTTAAGGCAGCAGACAGAGCACATTGAGACCTGTTAGCTTATGCTGCTTATTTGAGCTTATTTGAGCTGGTTATCAAAGTAGCCCAACATAATCTGTATCATATTTTCAAATATGCCCAGCTCAATAGTTGGGTGATAATGCTTTGGCCGCAAGACCGCAGTTAAATGTCGTGTAGTTGGGATGTTCTAGTATTTCCGGTTGCGCTGCGGGCACGCTAGATGGCGCTGCTGCTGCTGCTGCTGCCGTACGCTAATGAGCTTTGTAAACGGATACGGTGGCAACAACTGCGGCGTTGTCCTCATTTATGCTAAGCTTTTACTGCATTTATGCCAGCAGCAACTAAAACAACAGCAACAACAACAACAACAAGAAGAAGAACACGAAGCATCAACCGCAACTGTATCGTGTGCTTAATGGGTTAACGTGACGCTAAATGAATCATGGGGCTGGCAGCTAGCGGCATTAGTGGGTTAATATTTCAAAAGGCGTCGGCAGCGGGGCGGCCGGAAGTTGAAATGGAAATGAAAACGGATAGGGAAGGGGAAGGGGAAGCGGAAGTGGTAAAGAAAGGAGAGCTGGGTTGGGCAACAGCCAACGGATGCGCCACAGTTTCTATGCAAAAGACAATGTTATCATTTACAGGGTGTCTAATTAAATGAGCAAAAAAAAAACACAAGTCCTTGCCTTTGTCTCCATTTCAATTTCTATTTACAGTTTATGCAGTTGTAATTGCAGCTAAACAGAATTTGCAGCTGATTTGTTAGCGAAATGTGCAACTAATTAGCAGCAAAGAAATTCTGTGAAATGCGTCCTTTGGCTGGCAGCGTTCACTGTAGTTGCTGGCATTGAGTGGAAGCTGCCTCGGCATTTGCTTTTGGCCAAATGCAGGCAATGGCATAAAAGGCGCTCGGTTCGTCTTTAGACGTGCGGCGCAGGCCTTCACCCACTTGCGCCTGCAGCTGCAGCTCACTTGAGTGCACACGGTGGGGTGGGGGCAGGTGGGGCACGTGGCACAGGTTGGGCATGTGGCAAGCTTCTGAAGCTGCTCACGTGTGCTCAAGGCGTGTGTGTGGAAAAAGCAGCTGTAATTCAGCTAAATGCACTCAGCCAGACACGGGGCCAAGAGGTCCATTGTGTCTGAGAGACGGCGCCTGCTGCATGTTGCACGCTGCATGTTGCACGCTGCTTGTTGCGGTTGCACCTTGTAATTGAAAAGTAGGTTGCACATTTAGCTGCATTGTCTTGCAGCAAGTGCAGTCGCCTGCAACGACCCACATTTTGTTGTTGTTCTTGTTGTTGAGCCATAAATCAGGCAGCTGCAACAATTCTTTGCAACTAATTTGTCAGCTGATGCGCCGGTGTGGCACACACACAAGCACACACACAGAAGCATATCTGCTGTCGTGCCTTAATAGCCCAAGCAATTTGTTTAGGCCATAATAAATTAAGCCAACAATTTTTGCCAGCTGCCTGACTGGCTGACTGGCAAGAACTTTGCATTGCGCACTCGAGCGTGTAGCCTGTGATATCCTTCGAGTTTGACAATTGAATTTCAAGCTCTCAAGTCTCGAGATACATTTTGCCAATAGGCACATAAAAGATTTGTTGACAACAGCAACAGCATCCGGCGGCATTCGCCCCTGCCTCTCCCCTGCCTATCGCTCCCTTCCACACTTTATCAAAGGCTGCGCTGGCAAAACTATGCAAATGACATGGCTGGCACAAACTTTCGGGCTGTCCCCGCAAGGACAACGCAGGATTCGTTGCTAAAGTTTCTCCTGTTTTTTTTTTCTCATTCTTATTGTGTGTGCAAATTTCAGAAAATAGCTGAATAATTTCGTCCCAATGCCATTATGCAAAGCGAAACGATTTGCGATTGCTTTAAATGATAAGCAATATGTTGATGTTGATGCTGATGCTGATGCCGCTTGCTGCGAGCAAGCATGTCGAAAAATATGTTAAGGCCAGGCGAAAAGGCATTGAGCTGTGATGTTCGAATTACTTGGAATAGCTTGTCAGATATGAAATTAAGCATAAATAAAAGGCTTGCTCGAGTTTGATAAATTGTTTCACATTTTATCAGCTCGTTTTCTAACGAATTGTTTAGATTTTGTCGCTGTCT